CAGCCGCCAACAGCAACAGCAACATCCGCGTCTTTGTCCGCTGGCAGGACCATGTCGTCTTCGCCGGAGAGGAAGTCAAGTGCACAATCACCTTCAAGAACGTCGCACGACCTCCCGGGCCCCCGCCGACCACGCCCACAAAGAATCCGCATCCGTCTCCGAGACATCTAGGTGCCGCTGCCGAGCAACGAATGCGCCAGCCATCCCCTCTCGGCCCCGGTCACCCTGTTCAGTCGTCGTCCGTTGCGACACAAGGAGGAAATGGCCGTGCCAAGGGCCATGCTGACGGCCTGGCGCCGCCGCCCTCGGTGCGCGGACGCGGTCACGGCCATCGGTCCACCCTTTCCTTGACAGTTCCATCCGCTGCTGCCACTTCCCGCGCCCGAGACAGCTCCATACCCTGGTCACCCATCCAGAATCCCGCGTCCAGCAGCAGCTCCCGCGGTGGTCCTCCCTCGAGCTCCTCCGCCCGGAGCAACGGCAATGGCCACGGACACAAGAGGTCGGTGTCCATCGTGTCACTGGGCTCTACAAAGGCCATGGACGAGGTTCCGGACCTCAATTCGTCCCCCGCCAAGTCCCAGCGACCAGCGAGGGGTCATGCCCGAGCTTCGAGTTTGCAGATTAACTCCCGTCTTCCTTTCTTTGGCGGGCCCAAGTCTGGCAAGGCCGCCTCTTTCTTACGTGACGCCACCACTGAACAGACGCCTGACTATGTACCTCGCCCCCATACAGCTACACACCCAAAAGTGCAGACCTCTCAGCAGCCATCACCCCTTTTCCATGCCTCTTACCCTCCCAACCGGAACACACTACACAGCCCGACCGAAGGCCCTCTGACTCCTTCCGAACGGACACGAAATATCTTCCCATGGGCAACGTCCCCCTCGCCCAAGGCTTCTCCTAGAGCCGAGCAGAACACCGAGTTCAGGTTCCCTTTCACCAAATCATCTTCTTCGCCCGATGTTGTCCACGGAGGCAGTCCGGCGGGGCCCATACATGAAGACAACATCATGAGCCCAACATACTCGGTCGCTGGCGAATCCGTCAGGTCTCTCCCGATGCGATCAAGAGACCCTATCCCCACCATCAACGAACATGGTGCGATACCATCGGCACGTATTCTTTCAACAACCAGCATTGGCGGCACACCAAGGAGTAGTGGCGAGTTTTACTCCATGAGCAATTACTCTTCCGAGACCCTGGCATCCGAGTACGTCCAACCACAGCCGCTGAGAATGGCTGGTGGGCGATCGGGCCACAGCAGGCGGCCGTCCAGTTTCTCCCCAAGTACGGCAAAGATGCCAGAAACGTTGATGATGGGATATGCGCAAATCCAGGGTTCATTTACGCTTGATGGCTCTTTGGTAAACCTCGGACCATTTGAGCAAGTGAAGCGGAAAGCTGTAGTTGGGGGCCACGGTGGCGGCGTCATCGGTGTGGAAACTACGAAGCGCGACAGCGGCTTACTGAGGGGCTTCGGTTGGGGCAGTATCACGAGCTCAATTGGCGAGCTTCTAGGCGGAGGAGAACTCAGCACCATCAAAGAGATGCGCGGGATTGCCAGTTCAAAATCGATCCCCCTGTTGTCAACACCCCAGTCGATTCTTTTCGTCGACCTGCAGCTAGCACCCGGGGAAAGCAAGACGTTTGAATATTCGTTCAAACTGCCCAAGGGGCTACCACCAACGCATCGCGGCAAGGCGATGAAGATATCATACAGCCTCGTCATTGGCACGCAAAGGCCAGGAGGCGCAAAGGATAAGCACGTCAAGTCTGTGGACGTTCCGTTCCGCGTGCTTGGAAGCGTCAACAGCCACGGCGAAATCCTAGGTCACGACCTGATGGCGCCCTATATCATCCTGCGAGACCAGGCGCGGGTTAAGACCATTGATAATTCAAACACAGCATCTACCACTACCTTACATAATCATAATCACCAGCAACAACCACAACAAGCACGACAGAAACTATTAGGAGACAAACCCGCTGCCAACGAAGACTCCTTCCTCTCCTATGTTGACGAGCTTCTCTCCTCCCGCTCCCTCCAACTCCAAAACGGCGCTCGCGCCCCTGGCCTTCTCAGTCCCACAGCTAGCGGCCCTCCCTCCCGTCGACAGTCCAACTACTCCCTCAACTCTAACACGTCCTCGCACTTCAATCCGTTCGGCCCGCAAACCCACATGCCCGCTCTCACCGCAAAAGAGGCCATCGACCTGGCCATTCTCCGCTCCAACATAGCCTCCCACTACTCCAACCAATCTACTAACCGCTTCGAAATCGCCCGCAACGGTCGCCGTGTCGCCGTCGTCATGCTCGCCCGCCCCGCCTACCGATTAGGCGAGCAGATCACCATGGCCATTGACTTTGAAGACGCCGAGATCCCTTGCTATGCTGTGCACGTTGCTTTGGAGACAGCCGAGCGGGTAGATTCCAGCCTGGCGCTGAGAAGTGAAGCGAGTGTGCACCGCGTAACGAGAAAGGTGCTGGTAAGCAGCAGTGAAGCGACCATGTTTGCCAAAAGGGTGGTATTCACGCCAACGATTCCCGTCACAGCTACGCCCGAGTTTGTAACGAGCGGAGTCAGTTTGGAGTGGAAGGTTAGGGTGGAGTTCGTGGTGGCAAGCGCAGAGGCATTAGAGAGGATGGGACAGTCCCAGGTGCTGGGACAGGCGCAAGGGCAAGGGATGATGGGGTTGGGGATAACTAATATTGGAGAGGAGGAGTATGACATTGTTAGTGACGAAGAGGCGGAGAGGAATGGAGTTATTGAAGAGGAGGATGAAGAAGAAGAAGCGGATGAAGCGCACAAGGGTAGTGAAGGAAAAGAGGAAGAAGAAAGGGAAACGAGGTTAGTCAAAGCCAATGGCAGCGCTGCTGAAGGGGGAAATCAGAAAAGCAGAAGCAGGCCGCCTATGTTGCGCAAGAACCAGACCATCTCTGAACGCGAACGGGAAAGACAGAGGAATGCTATGCAGCAGCAGCAGCAGCAGCAACCGCACCCCTTGCTGGAGGAGATTTCGAGGGATGATAGGGGCGGTTTGATTTTGGTTGCGGCGGAGAATCTCATCTGCGAGAGCTTCGAGGTCGCGGTACCGTTGAAGATTTATGGTGCTGTTGGTACGGGGCTGGAGAAGTTGGAGAGGGATGAAGCTACGGAAGAGGGGTTACCTGTGTGAATGATTTTGCTCACCAGGTAGTCTACATGGCTATTTTGGAGTGAATGGATGATTACGACATGGCAGCGATGGGGCCAGAAAAAGTAACAGACGCAAATGAACATATGGGTGATGGATGGGCTAGGCTGGGCCGGTCGGACAGACAAAAGCTACTTTGAAGAGACGGAAAAGGCAAGGAAGAGAAAAGGAAATCCAGGCCTTGTTGATCATAGGATGTCTCGAGATGAACTTTTCTGGTAGATACCTAACCTTTCTTGGGTAATAAGGAATAATGAAACAGGAACGTTACCAGCAACCGGCGAGTGCTGGAAAGCCCTTGATTTTGTTCAATCACAGCTGTGTAAGTACTTTTAATTCAAAGATTGCACTCGGTCTTCACCGAGGTCAGCAACAAGGTGAAGATCGACGCCCACGGACAGCTTTGTGAAACGCAGGTATCTGCAGGGTATCACCGCTTGTTGTCCCCGACGTCCCAAGAATTTCACGATCCTGAATGGTTGGCGACAATGACATCATATGGAATGGTTTCGCCGTCTCCACCAATCACGGTCAGCTTCTGCAGTGGGACGACAGCGACCCCCCAGTTAAGGCTGATGCTGTAACAATGCATAGGACCAGCACAACAACAAGATTCGAGAAGAGGAAAGTGATATTCTTTTCGGGGGGGCATTGTGACCGAAAGTGGATTTGGTTGGGCTCTGCTTGGGTACGGTGAAAAGATGGCTGGGCATGAAATGAAGCTGGCTGGACAGCTGAGAGCAAAGCTGGGCAACAGCCATTCCATTCCGCTTTGGACGAGATGTGAGCTTCGCAAGGAAAGACAATCTGCTGTTTTCACTGTTGATCATTAGGTGGATATATCTTCCTTTTCCTCTTTTTATCGTCTCTTTAAGGGTCTTATGATTTGTCTCCCTCGACTATTTTTGATCAGTCCCCCATCATTCACGAAGCTTCTCCAGTTCGCTTTACGAAGGCCTCGTGTCCTTTTAACTGGCAAATTCCCGAAAGAGCCGGCGTTTGGGCTCCGTCCAAGTGGAAGTTCCCTGATTTTTTCAGTCACTTTTTCTTTTTGGGAGGGGGGGTTCATTGTTCGGCTGGTGGGGCCCCGTTAGGCCGTCACTTACACCAAGGCCCTGAATATCAGCGGGCAAGCATCACCGTCGTCACCGGGAGTTCGTATTCCATACCTACATATGCCGGCCTTTCCTTCTTGATCAACTCGCTTTTGTTTCCATTTTCTTGACTAGAAGATCAAAATTCGGAGTCAACTCAACCTACTTGCCACAATCACCAACAACGGCAATACCAACCGAGGTCACATCACCACTTCTTCTCGCCTTTTCCTGCCTTGGCAGTCCGCATCTATCACTTCGGTAGTCAAAAGAGGCTTATCATTACACAAACACAAGGCAAAGGAAGAAACCCACGGAACCACGCTAGAAGCTCGGTCGGAACGTCCTTTGCGTGTATCATTACACCGCGCCCGGGGAATTAATCTATCAAACACCTCGGCATTATCAAGGCGACGGCAAAAGTGAAAGGCCTCGACAGCAAGAGGGCAAAAGGGTCGGTCTCTAGTTTCCGAGGTTCGACATCACACGACTTTAAGGTTGGACGTTGACGACTTTCCTCATTGGCAAGGAGGTTATACGAACTGGACGTGTCAAAGCTGAAGAAGAGAAGAGATTGAGGGTACTGATACCAGCTCGTGGTCAAGTCCGTCAGGTTGCCGTTAACAAACGGACGGCATCAGACACACAACTCGATTCTTGGAATCTTCACATCGCAACACAAGAAACCTTTCATCACGACGACATAAACATGGTCCGCTTCATGGACGAACAAGACGCGCGTGCCCGCCGCGGCCGCGGTCCCTCTCCAACCCGCTCTCATCACTCCAGTCGCGACAGAGATTACTCCCCCGATTTCATCTCTGGCCCCGGCCGCGCTCCTCGTCCGTACGCCAGTGGTGCCATCCCATCAACAGCAACAGCACATCCAGCACCGCCACCCGTTCCCTCCCCACCACTTTCTCCTCCTATCTCTTACCGCACCGGAGCGGGGCCAGGGCCAGGAGGGTACGTCTACGACGACGGCCGAGACCGAAATGGCACTCCGCTCCGGGGGAGAGATCGCTCCTGGGAGCGCAGCTCCGGCATTGGTATCAATCCCCCCGTCGCAGCGCGAACCATCAGCGTCAGCAGGAGCAGAAGCCGGTCCCGCGGCCCAAGCCTAGCTTCAGCCCCATCGGCAGCGCCCGGCACTCGCGAGCGGCACATCGTCCGTGAGACCAAAATCTACGGCGGCCCAGAACTGCGTGATCCCGAGCGAGCCGTTCAAGCCCTGGCCGTCTCCGACGCCCGTCGGGCTCGCTCTCCCAGCCGAGACAGCCGTATCAGCCGAAACGTCTCGCGCTCTCGCTCCCGCTCCCGCGGCGCTCGCAGCATCTACACCACAGACGACGAGTCAGACTACCCCCGCTCTTCCCGTGGCGCAAGCCACTCCCGTCGACGACGCTCCCCTTCATCCCGCCGTTCCCGCTCCCGCTCTCGCGCCCGCCGCTCCCCCAGCCCAGCAGCAGCACCCCTCCGCAAAGCCAAAGACCTCTACTCCTCTACTTTTTCCCCCTCCACCACCGCCTTGGGCGTCGGCGTCCTCGGCGCCATCGTCGGCGGACTAGCAGCGCGCGAAGCAACTGAGCACGCACGTAAATCGTCTCACAATGGAAAAAAATCCTCCCACCATGACGGACACAGTAGCAGTAGCTCCAAGGGCAGGAAGAACCAAAAAGAAGAAGAGGAAAGAGAGCGTAAAGCGGCGCTGATTTCCACTATCGTCGGTGCTGCTGTTGGAGGGTTAGGGGCGAATGTGATTGAGAAGAAGTTGGAAGAAAAGAAGAAGGCGGGAGAAGAAGAGAAGAGAGCGAAGGAACGGGGAGGGGGGTATCGGGAGTTGAGGGATCGGGATCGGGATTTGGATGATGATGGGTATGATATTAGGGATAGAAGGAGTAGAAGTCGACATGGTGGTAGAGGAAGTAGTTTGGATACGCCGGTATATTCGGATGATGAGGGGTATTATGAGAGTGCGGGGAGTGCTTATGGGGCTGGTTCGAGGAGGGGAGGGGGTACAACGACGGTTAGGGGAGGACGTTGAGAGGTTTTTGAGGTGGGATGATGATGGGTGCTAAGTTGGTTTGGTTTGGTGATGGGTATTGTTTAATGTATTTTTCTTCTATATTGTTGCCTTTTCCGACCTGGACAATTCCATGATTTGAGAACAAGCTCACTGTCTCTCGCGTATCATGTGAAATCTGCAAGAGACTCGGTAGCGGGTGTTTCAACCTTCATCGCGCAGGATCGATATTACGTCCACGATGAAGAGGAGTGTATTTTGCCATGTTGACAGAACTAAGGGTACTACAAAAATAAGGAAGCCTAAAGGTAACGAGAAAATTGAAAGATTGGAGAGTATAAATAGAAAAGGAGAATGACCCAAAACTATGTACAAAACTATGTACCGTAGCATCCATAAAGTAGAGAAGAGAGGGAACGCGGGCGAAAAAAAAAAGTAAAAGGAGATGATCCGACCCAGGCTCGATCTGGGGACCTTCAGTGTGTTAGACTGACGTGATAACCAACTACACCATCGGACCGATGTCATTTGTTGAAATTGGAGCTTAAACGTAACTCCTATCAAGTTAATCCTAAAGGCGGCCCGAGCGCCCACCCATCCCGTACAATCCATCATTCTAAACTTGCCTAACAACTTCCTCGACGGATAGTCACGTAGACACTCTTAGGACTGACTGGCTTCATCTTAAAGGTTATGTGCATGAATAAAGGATTATCAGGGCAAATTATGCGGTCCACTTGAAGCAAAGATATTGTGCAAAACTGCACTAGAGGTACGTAAGCGAATATCCATTCCCCTTTCGAGATGGTTCCTTCAGTCTTCTCCAAGCAATACAGAAATGAAAATATTTGTCTGTTATCGCAAGAAAAAACAGTTACATCAGTTTAGTTACACATTAACACCAATCAACAAGTAACATATATCTCTCCTTTTCTCGACAGTGAATTCCCTTTCTTCTCTCTACCCATACACGAGTCTAGACTATCTATGACTGCCTAATAGGCCAATCCTCTCCCCTCCCCCCATCGTCCGCATCCAGCATGTACCGCTGCTGCACCTGTTCCCTCAACCTCGCCGTATACGACTGCCTCCTCACAGCAGCAAGATTCGAAGTAGAAGCTGATCTTGGCAATGATGATGGCGACGCCCCTGGACCAGCTACTATTCCTGTCTCCGTCTCCGTTCCCCTTCGTACCGGCACTCTAGTCGAGGACATCCCCCTCTTTAGCCATGCCTCTAGTGTAGGCGCCGGACTTGGTGATTGTCCCGTTACGGAGGAGCCTCGGGCTCGGGTCTGGGATTGCTGCTGTCGCTTTTGAGAAGGTCGTCCTCTCTGTTCGTTCTCTTCTTCTGCTTCTTCTTCCGCTGTTCCGCCACTTCCTCCGCGTTTATGTTGACTCCCATGTTCACTTGCTTCCAAACGGTCGGTGGGCACAGCAGGAACTGGGGGAGTAGACGGCGAACTAAGCGGCGACGAAGACCACCCCTGCGTACTTGGCGTCGGACTAGGACTTGGGCCGGGGAAGATACTGAGCCTGTTATTACGGTTGTTGCTGCCGGTCTTTCCCTTGTTCGCAGCAGCAGCAGCCCCCGACGGTGGCGGATCGTCTAGCTTAAAGCCTGAGGAGCTCAACGGCTTCGCATCATCCTCATAGCCGGGTATCGTAGGCGGCGCCCACTTTGGTGCAGGTGGGGCGGCCCGTACAGGTGGTGGTGGTATCGCTGAGTTATAGCTCACAGCATAACCTACCCCCATGGCCTCGTCGCCGCTGTTTTGGCGGTCTCTGAGTTTGACTGGACCAGTGCCTACTCCTGTCCTGATACTCTTCGGGCGCGGTGGGAAGGGAGAAAGCAGAACTGATGCTGCTGTTGTTGTTATTGGAGTGGGAGCTGGAAGAACTGGATTTTCGGGGGCGAACGGGAAGGCTTCTGCTGCTGGAGGAGGAGCGGGAGCAGCTTCTTTTGGAGCAGACCGAGATCTAGACCTAGCTCGCGGAGGGATTGGAGGCGGTGGTGGTGACAATGCTGTTCTGCCCTCCATAAGACTTCCTCCCCGCGAGCTGGAGGGCAGCCCGCCATTTACGCCGTCGTCGTTGTAGACGCTTTCGTCTTCGTAGTCGGATAACTTGATGGCTGACGTCGCCATTGTCGAACGTGATGCCACATGAGTCCGGCCAGAACCGGCGGTGGAGAGGTTGTTTGTTGATGCTACCCATACGACTGGGCTGTGATAGCTTTTTGTGTTTTCCCTTGTTGAGATGCTCCGACTGTTACGGCTACTGCCACGAGAGCTGGGGCCACTTGAAACATCACGAGCAGAACCACTATCACGAGCAGAACCAACATACACCACCTCCCCACCCTCTTTCCCCCCCCTTTTTCTCCCCTTATCCCCTCTCCTCCTCCTCCTCCTCCTCCTCCTCATAAACATAACAACTGATAACCCTGTCAAAACCGAACTCCCCGCCACACCACCCACCGCGGTCCCCACCAAAACTGACATATTCATATCCTTTCCACTACCATCGTCCTTCGCAACCGCAGCCATGCTCTCCATCACCCTTCCAATCCTCTCCTCCGCGCTCTGACTAACCCTGCTCACTCTCTGCTCCGCACTCTGGCTCATACTCCTGCTCATTTCTGTCATTTGTCTCGACAGATCCGCCACTGCTTGCGTCGCCACTCGACTAGCCTGCTCAGCCGCCTGCTGTGTGATTCTGGCGCTAGCTAAGCTCTGTTCAGTCTGGCTTAGCCTCTGGGAAGCCTGGGCGAGGGATTGGGAGGCTTGTTGCAGCGATTGCGAGAGTTGCTGGCTGGTTTGTGTAGAAGCTTGCGAGAGGGCAGAGAGTTGGGAGGAGAGGGAGGTGATTTGGGATTGCAGGTCGGCGATGGCGTTGTCGTTGTCTGGGTCGGGGCCTTGGCGGCGGTGTTGGACATGGAGGGAGGGAGGTGGAGTTATGGTTGAGGTGAAGAGGGAGATGGTGGTTATGGTTATTGTAATCGTTGATGGTGGCGGTGGTGGTGAGAGGAGATTCGTCGCTGTGTCGACATGGATGCTTTTCTGGGCGACATCGCGATTGTTGCTTTTCTCAAGTTCCATAGCTTCTTCTATCCCTCTTCCCTCGGTCCACATCTGTGGCGCCTCATGCCCTGCTTCAACATGGCGGCCGTCCTCCAAGGCACTGCTTGGAGATATTAAGAAGGTTAATACACAAAAGAAGAGAACGAAGATGGTGAAAACGTTAAACGAGTGATTAGCGGCCATGGCTATGAAAAACGTCTACCGCCAGCGGGAGAGACGAAGTGAGAAAGAGGGTTTGTTGTGGGCTAGCTAAGCATCATCATGCTTTCGCCCAGCGAGCCAGCCTATGCCGCCTGGGTCCCCTAATGACGGGTGGGTCGAAGGGGGGAAGCGAAAGAAGAGAAAGAGAGAGCGTTGTGAGCATGCGGACGACATGACGAGGGTGAACTGGGATCCCCAGAAGTTTTGTTCTTCGGTCCGTTCAGGACGTAGCACGGAAAGCGGGTTGGTCACTCCCGAGGAAGATGGGCGACAGAATTAAAGAAATTGGTGTGTCCTTGACCAGACATGTCAGGCTCAGTCGGTACCAGAGTGAGAAGAACCATTGTTCATGCTTTGGGACAAGGATGATTCCTCTTCTCATACCCAGCAATCCAGTGGCATGAAGGGTGGGAGGCTAGATTCGCGTTTTAGAGAGCCCTTCTCGGTTGAGAACATGTTCTTGAGGCATGCTTTTGGGATAGTACCACTGTCAGCATCATGCAATGCCGAAGTGCAGGGGGGTTCGCTTCCGATGGTACCGTTACCGTGTCTGAGAACTCGAAACATCTTTGATTATGCGCCGGCTTGGCTCGTACCCATTTTCCATGCAACAGCCAAGCAAGGGGTTCAAGGGGTGTCACCTTTGGGTCGACCTACCGAACACCACAATTGATGTCTCAAGCACACGGGCTATTGCCCCTGAAAGAAGAAGCCACTTTTGAGATTTTGGTACCCTACAAGTAGTCGTTCGACCTTTCTAAACCACATAGGTATATCGCCTCTAGAAGCTCACCACGCCAGAATCCAATCCCATGATGGCTAGGTGTTCTTGCCTTAGCGCGCCAAGATGGCTATGCGCTCCTCATAGTTGTTGCGCAAACTTATCGACAAAGCCATCTCCATCCCACCAACGCCGGCCTAACATGCAATCCAGTATTATTTTCATTGTCACGTTATCCCTTTTTGTCGAGGTTAAACGACGCATGCCCACCGTACCGCGTGTAGCATGTCCTCCCCAGTCCCCAGTCCCCATTCCTCTGTTATTACAGCAGTTTTGCGCCCTCGGTGACTATGTGCTGAAGCTGTGGCTGCGGTCAGGGTTCGGTTTCCGTTACCGTACGGTGCCACACACGAATCACCAATCCGAGCAGTCCACCCTCCGCTGATTGTCGAACATTGGTCATCCGGGTAAGAGGTTGATGTATAGAATTTGTTTGCTCAATTCCTCCGATTCCCCCCACCATTGGCTGGCCCCACACTTTAAACAGGCAGCTTGAACTTCTTGCCCTTCATGACAGTCGTATAGTACACCCAGAAGAAGTCGGTATAGAGCAACGTCTGGATGATGCCCGCCGCAACGGCAATATAGTCAATCTTGTGCTTCGGCTCAGTAACGTAGCGGTAGATCCAGTTGGGGATATACAGAGCGCGGTAGAGACCGAGGGCAAAGATGTAGTGGGTGGTGATGGTCTCGGCCTCGCCGGTACGCTGGAGCATGAAGAGCTGCGGAAGGATGGCGACGGACTCGAGCCAGATGGAAAAGGCCCACATGATCTCCCAGAAGTTATACTGGTAGGGCAAGAGGATGGCGAGAACGGCAGCGAAAGCCAGCAGATATTGGACCTGGAAGGTGTCGAGACCGGGATCGTTGGTGGGCTTGTAGGCACTGACCATAAGGTAGATGATGTAACCCGAGGAAGCAATGAAGAGAATCTTGAAGATGATGTTGTAGTAGCTTGTCGTCCAGAAGAGGTCTGTAAGTAGATACATGTCAGCCAAATGGTCTACCTAGGTGGAGGGACCGCAGCGCATAGCTATAGCTTTCAAGGGATGGCGTACCGAGATAGCGGGTGACGTAGACGATGAAGTAGATGACTTGCGACTTGAAAGAGATGCCGGCGCAGCTCTGTGACAGTAGTGAGTTAGCATGGAGAGTCGGGATAGAGGGCCAGAGGTCGAGTTGTGTATACCTTCAGCTGCGTCATCTTATGGAGAAGGATAAGGATAGAAGCCAAGTGGCTAAAGTCCGCTGTGCCATGGTGACGAGTTAGTTAGCAATCCAGCTTCAACTTGTCCTTCCTCCAAGATAAGGTAAGCATACCGGCGACGCGGAAGATGTTGAGCGACATGATTGCGAGCTTGTCGTTGATGTGCCCCTATGG